AATATTTTAATTTAAATCCTCATTACGCTATGCATAGATTTTGTTTCATTTCTAAAAGGTCAGATTTTGAGAGAATTTCAAAATATTAAAAAATTCGTAGTTTTCTGAAAAAAGCACGATCTTTAAAAAGGAATGCATAGCTATCTTTCCAACATTGGCTTTGATTGAAATCCATCGAAAAAGGCTGGATTTAATGAAAAACCGCGTTTCCTTTAGTATTTTAAGAAACCGGAAGTGCACCCGATATATATTGGAAGTTACCCCATCAGCGCGTGCGCAATTTACACTACCAGCACACTTCGGTAAGATCAAACAAAGCCACACGGAGTTAGTTTTTCTCTTTCTGTTGCTCTTGGTTTTCTGTCTTTTTCTTATTTTGTCTCTGCTTGTACTTTTTTTACTTTGCACTTTGTGAAACACAAAGAAAAACATCTAAAATGTAAGCGAATTTGGAAGTTATTGAGTTATTTTTATTTTCCGCGCTCAGGCTGACGTAAGTAACCGGAAGTGAAATTTCACCTCCTTAGCAACGCGCGCGAGCGCGCGCATAAATCGGTTAATGGGCCCTTAAGTACACCAAAATGCTCCTTATAATCAATCATAGCAATAAATGGTCTATTTCTGTCCTTTGGGGTTTGACTTTTCAAACTTTGCTTAGCGATTTTGCCATAGTTCACATTTACAAAAACAATTCAACAAAAGAAATCGGAGTTGTCTTGTATCAGTTTAATTACATATATATACCCCGGGATAGAGACAATGATCAATATACTTAATATAAGCTCTCTTACATCAATGACTTCCTGAGATTTACCCAGTTGGCTGAAAAAAAAAGTCCACATCATTAATGCATATTTCTTTGTTAATTAGTAATTAGACAAAACAGTAGTTCAAAAATCCTAAACACTCTACCAACTATCAGAGACGTTTTACTTCATAAAACACATAAATGGGCACTGAATTGTATTGCTCAGAAGAAGAGAGTCTAAATGTGTTCCAACAGATAGCTGTGAGTTGCTCAATATTTCAACTGTCAGCTCAGACAAGATTTGGGAAGTGTACTGATTGCTGAGAAGTAGGCTAAACATTTTACTGATAACTAAGATTCCAGCACCCCTGCAGACCCTGCAAGGTGACTCAGTTAAAATAAAATCAACCACTGAACAACATCTAGAAACTTGCATTCATTCTAATACTTCTCCACCTATTCAATTGATCTCAAATAATGATCCAATACCGTAATTATTGGACACATCTACATTACACTAAACCATTCAATGCATTGCCTTTACATAAAACGTTTACTATATGAAGAATCCATCTCAACAAATTCTTTACCGAGTAAGGTCTTCAATTTTGCAATTCTTTTGCTGCAATTAAAAAGTAAACCATGTTAAAATGTTATATAGCAATGCAGCAAATGGGATCCATATAAAGGTCAACTAATTAATCAGGTTTTCAGAGTTAACATTTAAACAAAATACTGCAGCATTCCAGTCAGATAAGTAAGGACTTTTGAATTAAAAATCCAGCAAGTCAGGCTTCACTATCTTCCCAAATTCAAACAGGNACTTTTCAAACTTTGCTTAGCGATTTTGCAATAGCTCCCATTTACAAAAACAATTCAACAAAAGAAATTGGAGTTGTCTTGTATCAGTTTAATTATGTATATAAAACTCAGGAAATAGACAATGATCAATATACTTAGTAAGCTCTCTTACATCAATGACTTCCTGAGATTTACCCAGTTGGCTGAAAAAAAAAGTCCACATCATTAATGCATATTTCTTTGTTAATTAGTAATTAGACAAAACAGTAGTTCAAAAATCCTAAACACTCTACCAACTATCAGAGACGTTTTACTTTATAAAACACATAAATGGCCACTGAATTGTATTGCTCAGAAGAAGAGAGTCTAATTGTGCTCTAACCGATAGCTGTGAGTTGCTCAATATTTCAACTGTCCGCTGAGACGAGATTTGGAAAGTAAGGATGACTAAGATTCAAGCACCCTCTGCAGACCCTGCAAAGTGATCCAGTTCAAATGAAATCAACCCCTAAACAACGTCTAAAACTAGCATTCATTCTGGTACTTCTCCGCCTATTCAACTGATCACAAAAAATAGCCCAATACCGTCATTAGTAAACACATATCTACATTACACTAAACCATTCAATGCATTGCCTTTACATAAAACGTTTACTATATGAAGAATCCATCTCAACAAATTCTTTACCGAGTAAGGTCTTCAATTTTGCAATTCTTTTGCTGCAATTAAAAAGTAAACCATGTTAAAATGTTTTATAGCAATGCAGTAAATGGGATGGTTTTCAGAGTTAATTTTTGAACAAAATACTGCAGCATTCCAGTCAGATAAGTAAAGACTTTTGACTTAAAAATCCAGCAAGTCAGGCTTCACTAATTTCCCAAATTCAAACAGGTCCATGGGAAAATTCTAATGACTTGGTAACTTTCTAATGGCCTGTTGGAATTGGCTATTAACACCATCCCAATAAAACGTATTTATAACAGTGAAATTCTCTTCGAAAATGCAGGCTTATTAGTGAACAGAGTTAAAGTAATTCCAAACTTTATGTCAAATATTTGTATATTACTAAAGAGCAATCAATTGTTAGTCCTTTTTTTTAAAACAAAATCATGTTCATCAAAGAGGTAAACTCTAGTCTGTTGAGATATTTTTATTACACGATATTCAGTTCATATGTTCTTTGTAGGAATCGTCTCATAACTGCAAATTAACAAGATGTTTTTGCTTCAGTGCACTTAAACTGAATGGTACTTATTACGAATCACAGCCATTAATGGTTTTTTTCTATGTCTTTTGAGGTTTGACTTTTCAAAGTTATGCTTAGTGATTTTGCTATAGTTCCATTTTAAAAAACAATTCAACAAAAGTGAGCGATGGGAATTGTCTTGTATCGGTCTAATTAAATAAATAGATTGTGATTGATATACTTAAGCTCTCTTACTTCAAGGTCTTCTTTTGATTCACAGAGTTGGCTGAAAAAAAAACCATATGGTTAATGAGTATTTCTTTGTTAATTAGTGATTACTGGTAATCAAAACAGCAGTTCAAAATTCCTAAACATTCTACCAACTATCAGAGACATTTTACTTCATAAAAATCATAAATGGTCACTGAATTGTATTGCTCAGCGGGAGAGAGTCTAAATGTGTTTCAACCAATAGCTGCAAGTTGCTCAAAGTTGTAACTGTCAGCTGAGTCTTGAGATTTGGAAAGTAAACTGATTGCTGAGAAGTGGGTGAACATTTTACTGATAACTAAGATTCCAGCACCCCTTGCAGACCCTGCAAGGTGAAATCAACCACTGAGCAACGTCTAGAAACTTGTATTCATTCTGCTACTTCTCCACTTATTCAATTAATCACAAATTATAGCCTAATACCGTCATTATTGGACACATATCTACATTATACTAAACCACTCAATGCATTTCCTATATGTAAAACGTTTAATAAAGAATACATCTCAACAAATTCCTTACCGAGAAAGGTTTTCAATCTCGCCCTCTTTTTGCTGCAATAAGTTAAGAAAATAAACCATGTTACAATTTTACTGAATGCAGTAAAGGAGATCGATATAAGACTAAACTAAATGATCAGGTTTCTAATGACCTGCTGGAATTGGCTATTAACTCCGTCCGAAGAAAAGATATTTACAACAGTGAAATTCTCTTCGCAAATGAGTTAAAGAAATTCCAAACTTTACATCAAATATTAGTACATCACTAATGTTCATTTTAGTCCATTTTAGTCCATTTCTTTAAAAATATCTTGTTCATCAAAGTGGAAAACAACTAGCCTTTCAAGATATTTTAATTGCACACTATTCATTTCTTATTTTCCTTGTAGGATTTGTCTCATAACTGCAAATTAACCAGATGTTTTAGCTTCAGTGTACAAAAATGCTACTTATTATCAATCATAGACATCAATGGTTTGTTTTCTCTGTCTTTTGAGGTTTGACTCTTAAAAGTTAATTGCTTAGTGATTTCTCAATAGTTCCCATTTGAAAAACAATTCAACAAAACTAAGAAATTGGAATTGTCTTGTATCGGTCTACTAAATATATAGACTCTGATTAATCTACTTAGGCTGTCTTACGTCAGAGTAGTCTGCGGCTTCATGCAAGAGCCTGAAAAAGATATCCATATCATTAATGAATATTTGTTAGTTAATTATACTTAGTGATTAATCAAAAGAGTAGTTAAAAATTCCTAAACATTCTACCAACTATCACAGATGTTTTAAATGGTCACTGAATTGTATTACTCTGTGAGCAGGAAAGAGTGTAATGTAAATGTAATTTAACCGATAGCTGCGAGTTGTTCAAAGTTGTAACTGTCCGCTGACACTTGAGATTTGGAAAGTGTACTAATTGCTGAGAAGTGGGCTAAGCATTTTACTGATAACTAAGATTCCAGCACCCCTGCAGACCCTGCAAGGTGACTCAGCTGAAATGAAATCAACCACTAAACAACGTCTTGAAACTTGCATTCATTCTGATACTTGTCCGCGCCTATTCAATTGATCACAAATAATGATCCAATACCATCATTATTGGACACATTTCTTCATTACACTAAACCATCCAATGCCTCACCTTTACATAAAAAGTGTAATGAAGAATACATCTCAACAAATTCTTTACCGAGAAACGCCTTCAATACCCTCAGTTCTTTGCTGCATTACACTAAATCATAAAATGCATTGCTTATAGATAGAAATTTGTATGCAGAACGTAACTCAACAAATGTTTACCTCCAGAGATTTTGGAGTGAATATTCACGTTCCTGCAATAAAAAAGTAAACAATATGTTGACTCTACTTAATATATGTATGTCGAGTTTTCTCGCATGTTCATTGTTGATTGTTTTTTACGTAAAATCTATTGGAGAACTTGACAGATGCGTAGATCACATGACTGGCAATTTGTTTCTTTATTATCTAAAACAAGTATATTCCATTTTGCAGTGCGTCTGTTCAGTGCGAATGTGGCTGTCTTACGAATTTGCTAAAACTTGGGTGTTAAAATTATGACTAAATACCTTCACTCCAACACAATACATGGATTTGGTTACCATGTTTACATCGCTGTTGCTACCAAGCAGTTCAGACCACAAAATTAAAAAAAAAAAACTTTACACAAATGCTGTAAAGGGGTTCCATATAAAAGTAAACTAATTAATCAGGTCTTAAGAATTAATATTTAAAAAACATACTGCAGCAATCCAGTCAGATACATGTAGGAAAGGGCATTCTGGTTAAAAACCCTGCTAGTAAGGTTTGACCATGCACAGGAAACATGTAATGACTTAGTGACTTTCTAATGACCTGTTAAGATGGGCTGTTACCACCATCCCAAGAAAACGTATTTATGACAATGAAATTCCCTTTGTAAATGCAGGCTTATCAGTGAANAAAACGTATTTATAACAGTGAAATTCTCTTCGAAAATGCAGGCTTATTAGTGAACACAGTTAAAGTAATTCCAAACTTTATGTCATTTATTTGTATATTACTAAAGAGCGATCAATCGATAGTCCTTTTTCTAAAAGCGAAATCATGTTCACCAAAAAGGTAAACTCTAGTCTGTCGAGATATTTTTACTACACGATATTCGTTTCTTATGCTCTTTGTAGGATTTGTCTCATAACAGCAAATTAACAATATGTTTTTGCTTCAGTGCACTTAAACTGAATGGTACTTATTATAAAATCATAGACATTAATGGTTGTTTTCTAGGTCTTTTGAGGTTTGACTTTTCAAAGTTATGCTTAGTGATTTTTCTATAGTTCCCATTTAAAAAACAATTCAACAAAAGTGAGCGATGGGAATTGTCTTGTATCGGTCTAAGTAAATAAATAAGTTGCGATTAATATACTTAATATACTTAAGCTCTCTTACCTCAAGATCTTCTCTTGTATCATGGAGTTGCCTGAAAAAAAACATATCATTAATGAACATTTTTTTGTTTATTAGTGATTAATCAAAACAGCAGTTCAAAATTCCTAAACTCTCTACCAACTATCAGAGACATTTTACTTCATAAAAATCCTAAATGGTCACTGAATTGCATTGCTCAACAGGAGAGAGTCTAAATGTGTTTTAACCGATTGCGACGAGTTGTTAAAGATTTTAACTGTCAGCTGAGAGTTGAGATTTAATTTGGAAAGTACACTGATTGCTGAGAAGTGGGTGAACATTTTACAGATAACTAAGATTCCAGCACCCCTTGCAGACCCTGCAAGGTGACTCAGTTCAAATGGAATCAACCACTGAACGTCTAGAAACTTGCATTCATTCTGCTACTTCTCCACCTATTCAATTAATCACAAATAATAGCCTAATACCGTCATTATTGGACACATATCTACATTATACTAAACCATTCAGTGCATTTCCTATATGTAAAACGTTTAATATAGAATACATCTCAACAAATTCTTTACCGAGAAAGGTTTTCAATCTCGCCCTCTTTTTGCTGCAATAAGTTAAGAAA